TACTGTAAGCAATCAGACAGGGCTAGGCCCTTAAGGGAGTCAGTGCAGAAGATGAGCACACACATCACAACTGTGGCTGGAGGCCATCTGTCAAAGACGAGGCCTCAAGATAAACATGACCATGCTTACATGTCTCAGCTGTTAAGCAATAAAGATTGTATTATAATTGGTATCACCTGGTCCAACAAAGCATGGCTATATACAAGTCACCCCGGTGGGTAACCAGGACCTCCTGATCCATCCCTTCCTAAAAAGGTCTTTGTTCTTTCCACATACACTTGCCGCATGACCTGCTACCCCATTGGATCAGTATTACCTGTGTCTATACTTGTAACCATATTGGTTGATCATTGTACCCACCTCAAGATTTTGTTCTATGAAGCTTCCTTTGAGAAGTGGGCTCCTTGGCAACCTATTTTTAGTTCCCCTCCTGTCTCAGGAGCTTTCTCTCTCAATAAATTTTCCTACTCTTAACTTGTATTGTTTCTTAGAATTCATCCTTCGATTTTGAGGAACAGGAACTCAGCGTATCTGACATTAAGTAGGTAGGGAATTTTATTATTTCCCCTATATCACTATGAGCTTTGCACTCACCAAGAGGTTAATCCACTGCATTAGTGACACAAACAGGAAGGATGTGTACATGTGAAGAGGAAACTCACTCGATTTATCCTGAACTTAATACTCTTAAGCCTAAAATTCTAAATTAAGCTGTTTTGGAAATGAAAACTGTCACGAAGTCAAGACTATGTATATTGCTATAATTTCTGCAATACAAATACTGTGTGTCTAAACTTCCAGAGGGTTAAATACGTTTTATATTCAGTGCCATATCCCTTCAAGCAACTACAGAGGCTTACTGTAAACTGCACTATCTTTCACTTCCTCAAAAAATATTTATTAAATATTAGTGTTGGGGCCTGGGACATATATCCCCAAAATATGGCAGTATTAAGCCATACTTAATCTACATAAAATGAAAAGTCCTTGAAAGCATTCCTGCTCCTCTCCCATACAAGGGATGAAAGGGCTCTCTGGAATTCCCCTCATCTGCATAATCCCACACTGCCAAGGGAGCACAACTGCTTTCCACTCTCACCCCCAAATCCCACTCTCTCCCTCAAAAGAGTGTGGAATGTAATTACAGCTGGGTGGGCTTTCCTTACAAGATAATACCAGTCCCTTGGGCTTATTCAAGTTCTAGAGATTCCAGTCCATCCATTCCCCCAATAACCATTTATAAGCCCTCAAAATTGTCTATACTCCCCGTTTTCCTCCTCCTCCTCAACAGAAAAAAGGGTATAAAAGTCAGTGAAAAATGTGAAGTAGATGGATAAATTGTGATCTCCAGGACCTGATGTTTTCTTTTTCTTTTTCATGTTAACAAGTGAATATGCCTTTTCTTCTATGTAATCTTATATCAGTATATTTTAGCAAACCCTTCACCCCTATGTTATGAGCTGTTTAGGTGTTGGGGCCACAACTTAGAATGAGAAAGTCTTGATAATTGAGAAGCTTATAGGTCTGGGCAGGCGGCACTGACCTGTTGTGAGGAAGGTCACAGGAAGATCTCCAAAGACAAGAATACAGTTAGAAGTCTAGAGAGCACAAGTGAGAGGGTTAGTGGGATAAAATGAGGAAGTGAGGAAGCAAAATAGTGTGGCTAAAAATGGCTGGGAAAGGACGCATAAAATTCTGCAATACATGCATATAACAGAATCCTGCGTGTGGACTTCTCGCAAGAACTTGAGGTTTTTTTTTTTAATTAATTTAGTTTAGTGGTCAATTTTAGCTATACATAACAATCACATTCATCATAGGAAATCTGTACCTGTGCATGATACATCTTATTTTTTCCCCAATTCCCGACCCTCCCTTCAACCTGTCTTCCCTTCCCTGTCCCCCTATATAAATTTTGGAGAAAAATCCTTTCATAATTAAAGTGTGACTATAGCTGTCTAAGGCCTAATGTTGCCTTGCCTGTGGCTGGCCATGGCAAATGGAAACATAACTCTGTTTTGCTTCTGGTCACCAACTGAGGCCTCAATATTCCTGTGAAACTGTGTTTCAAGGGCAAGACTACATCAGCTGTTTCTGCTGAGAGACAAATTCCTCATCAGTTTAACTCATCCCACCTACTATTTAAGCATGCTCTCCTTACAGTCCTTATCAACATAAAATCCTCATCAGCATAAAATCTGCATAGACCTAGGATTACCTTTGCCTCCTAAGAAACCTGATATTTCCCCTAATTATTGTGTGTACCCAATGAGAGTCTTTGTCTCTGCCTGCTGAGGCACTAGCCTCCCAGTCTCCCATATATTTTGAAATTACGCAAGTCTCTAATGTCCTTTTTACTTTAGCATTTGCCATCCCCCTTTCTAGGCAATCAAGGATTGACTGACCTCTGATACTTCCCCTCCTTATTTACAAAAGCTTTGTTTCCATTTTTTCCTTCTTTTCCCTTTTTTTCTTTTCCATTCCTTCCTTTCCCCCTCCCTAGCTTTCCTTCCACTTTAACATTTGCTTCCTATTTCACAATATCTATTATACATTTTGGTCCTTATTTACCCTTCTAGTTTCTCACACCAGAGAAACAATATATTTACACAACGTGTGTCCAATTAGTTTCACTTAACAGTATGGTCTCAAGGTGTAACCATTTACCTAGAAAAGTCTCAAGTTTATATCCTTTATGGCTCAGTAGTACTCCACTGTATTTAAAAAAATCCAACTCAGTCCAAAAATAGGTATCTGAAATGAATAAATACTTCTCAGATGAAGAAGTACAAACGGCACATAAATATATGAAAAAATCTTCAACATCATTGGTCATTTGATACAAATTAAAACAAGGCTGAGATTCCATCTCCAGGACGAATGGCTTTTATCAAGAAATACAAGATCCCAATGATAAATGTAACTGTACTGTATACCTAAAATGTACCAATAAACTCAATGAGGAAAAAAAAAAAAAAGGAAATCAACCAATACAAATGCTGGTGGAGGGCCGGGATCTAGCTCAGTGGCACTGTGCCTGCCTCGCAAGTACAAGGTCCTGAGTTCAATCCTCATACTGAAAAAATGAGTGCTGGTGGGGCTGTGGGGATAAAGAACCCCTTCTCCACTGTTGTTGGGAGTGTAGACTGGTGCAACCAATGTGGAAATCAATAGAGAGATTAAACTAGAGGTTCCATCTGACCCAGCTATTTCCCTTCTACATATCTTCCCAAAAGAGTTAAAAGCATCATACCATAGCGATATTTGCACACCCATGTTCACAGCAGGAGTTTGTAATAGCTCAATCTTGGAAATAGCCCAAATGCCAACTCAGCAGGTTTTTGATAGGATAACCTAGCTCGTATGGGAAATATGAAGAGACCGTGGCCATTAAGCACTCACTAATGTGCCTTTTCATAATCCACCCTGCACCGTAGGACGTATTTTTATTTTTACTTACCTTCTTACCTGGCCCAAACTTGCTCTGTAGAGCCTGTTTTTTCCTCTATCCTTCTGGGTTTTTTTTTCTACCTTTAACACGTGAAAATTTGAGACCATTTTTGCTTGTTTTGTTCAATTATTTCTTTAGGATAGAAAAGACCTAGAAATTACCTCTAAAAGGAGACTCCAGCAGCCCAGAATCTGGGAACAGGCATTCCAAGTTAACAACAAGAAACAAAGCTAAATTTTGCAATGAACTTGAAATATGTGAGGAATGGTGAATTCATTTTGGCTGGAGTTTAGGAGAAAAGCAAGGAATGCAGAATAGGAAGATGGGGAGGTAGATTGGGAGTGTTCTGGATTACAAATTACAGTGTTCTGGATGATAGCCTATAGATCCTTAACACTCTCAGTATAAAAAATGAAATCGAGAAATAAATAGTAGATATTAAGCAGAACAATGAGTGACCTCCACAGGTTTAGGTTTAGGGGAAGAAATTCTAGGCAGGGCTTGGCAGATAATCTACAACAGTACCTCAAGCAAGTTGTTGAAGTATTGAGGAGGTGTCTGATTTGGGAGGTGTTTTTGAGAATTAGTAGGACATATTGGTTACTTAGGTGTAGGGATAAAAAGATGCTAAAGATCCCTGGGTTTCTAGCTCAAGGATGTGAGTGGATGGTAATACTGCCAGCTGAGGGAGGAAACAAAGAAAAGTAAGGTGGGGAGAGAGGTTAGTTCTTGACATATTCTAATAGAAGTGTGTGTGTGTGGAGTTTCCGAGGGAACAAGACCCAAAACTAGGCTATGGCTTAGTCTCAAAGTGCCTACTTATTAATGGCTATTAATTGCAAAGGAGGAAGAGAAACCTGGAGGACCGACACCTTAACTAAAATAGTCAGCACAAAAGTTATGTGGCAGGGTTTCTGAAACAATACATCCATAAGGACACAAACTCTATCACTTAGGAACTCTTATCACTACTTCATAACCACTTCTAATGAGAAACAGTTGACAACCTTAAACAGAAGGACACGTTACAAAACAGCTGCCCCATCTTCTTCAAAAATGTCAATGCCAGGGCTGGGGATATAGCTCCGTGGTACAGGACTTGCAGGCATAAAGCTCTGGATTCAATCCTCACTACTGCAAAAACAAAAGCCCCAAATGTCAGTACCATTAAAGACAGGCTGAAAAGCTGTTCCACATTAAAAATGATTGAAAAGACATAACAGGCCAGGCATAATGACACATGTTTGTAATCCCAACACTCCGGCAGGCTGAGACAGGAAGATCACAAGTTCAAACTCAGCCTGAGAAAGTTGGTGAAAGCGTTTCAAAAAATTTTAAAAAACGCGTTGGGTATGTAGCTCAGTGAGAAGGCCCTGGGTTCAATTCTGGATTTAAAAAAGGAAAGAAAGAAAAAAGAAAGCGACAGTAAAATAAATGTACTGTGTGGGTCTGGGTGAGGCCTGGGACCAGGCAGATAAATTGCTATTAAAAACACTACCTGCCGAGTTCTATCCCCGGCACCAAAAAACAAACAAACAAAAAACACTACCTGGATTCTGCTCCTGTAGCATAGGAGCACCTCGTGAGCTGTGGAGGCTGTGTACGTAGTTCAGATGCTTCCTAATGCTTCGCTCAGTACTGCCTCCCGCACATGCGTACATTTCGCTTTGCGTGTAACATCCGGGCACTATGCGCCCGGTGGGGGTGAGAGTGACTCTTGACGGCGTCTTCCACTATCCGCGAGAGTATACCGAGGCGGTGGACTTTGGGCTGTGTGAGAGGTTTCTGAAACTTACGTATTTTTAAAACTGTGTTTAGTTCCCACTCCCCCTCCCCACTTCATTCTACCAAATAAGCCTCAAAAGTGTTTCCTACCTCTTACATTTGAACAAATTTTGTTCGATGGTATTGGAGGAGGAGAAAGAAAGATGGCTGCCGGTGACCGTCTTCAGTGCTGACGAAGTGCCCCAGGCGTTTCAAACGCAGAGCTGAATAGGTGTTTTATTGAAACTAGGTTGCAGCAACCTAAGCAAAGTAGATAGAACCACAGACAGTAGAGATTCAGTGTGTGGTTTATTGACATGTATAAAAGAAGATCCCGAAGAGAATGAAGCTTTCTAAAGCCGAGGGAAAACATTTCATGGTCAGGTAAACAGACAGTCAAAGCAAAACTGACAAAATTGCCCAATATCAGGATGTGAGCAAGTAATGGATTAAATTCCAAAGATAAGAAATTGCCATAGATTTATTTTCGGGGGGGGGAGGAAAAATACGAAGTATGTATAATAAGGCTTTTGCTTGAGTGTCACAGGATAGAAGATTCACAAAATATGTGTGTGATTTTATTTTATTATTTTTTTGGTACCAGGGACCGAACTCGGGACCTTGATCTTGTGAGGCAGGCGGCAACACCACTGAGCTAAATCCCCAGCCCCGTGTGTGATATTTTTTAAGGGGAAAGCTGTGTATGACTCAGTAAGTCTTTATCAAGTCACATGTGAAAGCCACAAAAATAATTCTCCCTTGTATAAGAGCTCAGAAGAGTCCAATCTTTCTGAAAATGTTACTATATATACCATAAATGCATGAAAGATTAATAAAGAATTTTGAAATAGAAGTCTGTAGAAATCCAGATAAGTATAAAAATCAAATTAGGAAGTAAGTCCAAATAACTATTCTAAATGTGCTTTTCAAAGGACTGCAAATGTTAAAAATAATTCAAATTTTATTTTTTTGTTTTTGAATCCTTTTTAGTAAAAACAATTTGATTCAATTAAAAATTATTGAGGGCCGGGGATTTAGCTCAGCAGTTCGGTGGCCTGCCTTGCAAGTGCAAGGACCGGAGTTCAATCCCCGGTACCAAAAAAAAAAAAAAATTATTGAAACTTGGTAAAACTCAGTACTACATAGTAGGTAATATTACTATGTATTTATGGCTAAGTTTTCTAAAATGGGATTGCACTATAGTTTCATTAGAGAATGGCATTGTTAGTAGAAGACACTGAAGTACCTACGGGTAAAAGGTTGTACGTATGTGTTATGAGAATGAGAGAGTGTGAGAGCCCAAATGTAGCAAAATATTAATAAATGGTGAAACTGGATAAAGGATATATGGAAGTTCTTTGTAGTATTTTTGTTCTGTTTATTTTTTTGAGACTGTGTCTCAGTGTAGTTCAGGCTGGGCTTCAACTCACTATATAGCCCAGGCTGGCCTTGAACTCACAATGATTCCCCTGCCTTGGCCTCCCCAGTGCTGGGATTACAGGTGTGCATTATCACACCTGGCTGCTTTGTAGTATTTTTGTACATTTTCTATACATTTTGATCATTTCAAAATAAAAAGTTGGTGGGTTTTTTTGTCAGTTTTGGGGATTGAACCTCCTTCTTAAACTACATTTTCAGTCCTTTTTTTTGTTTTGTTTTGAAACAGGGTCTCATTAAGTCACTAAGGTACCCAGGCTGAGCTCAGCTTATGATCATCCTGCTTCAGCATCTCAGAATGCCTGGGACATGCTTAGCTAAAAATAAAATGTTTAAAAGTAGTTTTTACAAATGAAAGATCTTGAAAGGGAGTGAAATCTATCACAAAGAAAGTAAAACATTTTACAGTACTATTACAAGAGCATTAGAGCCTTTGTGTAAAAAAAGTCTAAAGTCTGTCCTCAATTATACATCTGTTATTAGTAATAGTTACAAAATAATCTTAGCCTCATAAACTTTGATTCAAAAAATAAATAAAATGTGGGAGTGGAATATTATTAATATTGTATATGACAAGAGCCATTTCCGTGAAGTGATTGGAGCAGAAGCTGGTTTCACTGGGTTTATAGAGCAAAAAAGGAGAAAGTAGTGGAAATGGAGGGATGACTCTTGGCCCACCTAGTAGAGTGATTTCTGAAACACACATAATTTTCCTGTTTGGTATTGAGTTTTCATAGTTAGAGTTTTCTTTGGCAGATTATACTTATAGGTAAAATAAGTGATTGTGCTCCTGTATATTTTTTATGCTTTAATGTACAAGGGTGGACTGTCATTGATTTAAACTGGAAAGTACAATTAATTTCTAGACTAAAATTACAATTCTGACAAAGCGGTGGCACCATGTGAGGAAAGAGAAGTACTGTACCAGCATCCCAAAGACTTTGTTGCCAGTGACCAGGATGCTGAATGTCACCAGGGTTTTGCCTCCCTGGAAAGTAGTGCTTTCAGGTCCGAGCTAGATTCTTGGGTAGACTAGAGTGACTGCTTTATTGGCTCTTGCCCTCAATGGCTGCCTAATTATACTCTTCACTCATAAGAGAAAGGAAGAGGAGTGTGTTTACACTCCTGCAAATTGCACGGTGGCTTTTCTTCCCAGCTGCTCAGCTAGAGGTTAAAGGACCTGCTGTATCAGGAAGGGGAGAAAACCAGACTCAAGGGAAAACAGAGAGGAGAAATTGGTTCTCAAAATAACATTTGGGGAAGGGGAACTGGGAAGGTGTGGGCCATATGGTACAAAATTAACAGTGGTGTAAGATGAACAAGAAGAGGCTTAATGTACAACATGAGGGTTATGGTTAATAATATTTTATGGCATATGGAAAATTTGCTGAAAGATTTTATGCACTTTAATTAGAGACAGAAGGGGGAGGGACGGGAAAAAAAAGAAAGGTGTGTGAGATGATGGATATGTTGATTTGCTTGACTAGTAATCCCTTCACTAAGTATATGTGTATCAAAATATGTTTTACACTTAAATATATACAGTAAAAAAGATAGGAATGTTTATGGTATTTAAATTTGTGACTGAAGTGTTTTTAAGTATTGAGAAACATTTACAAATTCATATCCAAGTCCAGTAACCTAGCAACATGATGATTTTCATTTGTTTGGAGTTCCTTTAAACTTTTATTCATACAGACATATCATTTCTAAATTGATGAAACTATATATATTTTATACATTTGTAACATTATTTTAGAAACACTTGCCCTTTGTCTCACATTTTTAGCATAGAATTATTAATATCGGTGGTACCTCCATAGTATTTATGTTGTACATATATTTTATTTAATTATTTCCTTATTAGATGCTAGTGCTTTTTAAAATTATACATAACTCTCTTGTAAATGTCTTCAGATATGTAGATTTTTCTTTTAAATTTTTATATTTTCTTTATTCCAAGATACACACTTTCCTTCTTTTAATGTATATTGAGATACATTTTAGCTATAAAGATGGCAGTATTTGTTTTTTCTCTTTAAAAGTTATTAAATTGATATATATTAAAAACTGAAACTGTCTTAGAATTGGAGAAATACAGTAATCGTATAATATAAATTTGGAATAGAGGATTTACAGAGTCAAAATAACTTTATGATATTTGATAAGTATATAAAGATGTCCTTTACCAATAACATCAGCGTGGTTGTGTGTTGCTGTTTTTCTGCAGCTTTGCCAGCATATGAGATTTAACTTTTCTGATTTTTATCAGTTTTAATAGATGTAAATGTTTTCCTCATTATTATTTTAATTTTCATTTATTTAGCTATTCTACTCTTGGTATATCAGAAAGCTATGGATGTGAGGCAAACAAAAGGCAGAATGTGAGACCTCTCATAACTCATTCAGAAGAAAAACCCTTGATGTTTAACCACTAATACAGAAGAGATAAAGTAAGAGTTTCTGACTCTTCCCTTTTTATGCTCTTAGAACTTTTTCTCTGCCATATACAAAATTGGAAGAATTATGGACAACAATTTATAAAATCAGAGAACTTTTGAGTTTGATAAACCCTTAAAGATCACCTGGTTAAACCTCTCACTTTGTATAGGATTAAATAAAATTGCAGTGAGATTCAAATTGTTCAAGATCTTGCAGCTTGTGAGTGCTAGGGCTGAAATATAAGACTGAGGTTCCAGACTTTTCTACCAGGCACACTGTTTCTCTTGTGCAAATTCTATTTGAGGGCTAATGATGCATCTACCGGTCCTTGACATTTAGGCTAGGAAGTATAAAATTTGGGCTTAGGGTATTACTAATTCTTACAAAAATACAAGAAAATGAATTCTTGTGATTCAGATTTAAGATTGTAAACCAAACACATCTGAAGATGTTGCACAAAATGAGAGTACGTATCATAAACTCTTTGTAATAGAATTATGCAGTGAATTTTGAGTAAGGTGTCATAAGTATGTTAATTGAGATTGTAGGTGATTAAACCTTTTGGGGGACTGAATCACCATTATCTTGATTTTTTTCTTACTGTAAATTCAGGATCATCGCTTATTAAATATTAATGTGTTCACCATTTCCAGACCAAATAAGCAACAAAATTTTACATCTAAAGAAGGGCATACTTTTATCCCATCATCATTATCTTTAGTTCTAGTCTTTCGTGATTTTATGTTCCCATAACCGTTAACTTGAGTCTCAGGCTTTATCAGACTGTTGCAACAAAATTAAGTCACACTTCAGTTTCAGACCCAAATTATTATGGAATGGACCCAGATCAGTAAAACTGCAGAAAACTGGCTCTCCTTAAATTGTTTCCTCAACTATTTCTGGGACTCCTAGGGTAATGCCTCATAAGAATTCAGGACTGGTAACTATTTTTACCCCTGCCTTTTTGTCTTTTTTTCTAGTCAGTAATACCACTGAGTATCACTG